GTAGTAAGTAGGTATTGTACTTGGTAGGTAGGTATGTATTCGCCTTTTCCCCACAGCACAGCACAGCACAGCATAGCACAGCACAGCACAGCATAGCATAGCATATCATATCATATCACATGACATCACGTGATATCACGTACGGGGTAATATGATACTTGGGTATATAGGTATATAGGTATATACTACGTACGTAATAAGTGCGGAAGTTGTAAGTGCGTAAGTTGTAAGTGCGTAAGTGCCACTAATCCCCTAGGATAGGGTAGGATAGGATAGGGTAGGACTGGGTAGGACTGGGTAGAACTGGATGGGATAGGATAAGTAGGATAAGTAGGATAACCCCGCACGGCAATGTCGCTGTCACCCTCACCGTTCGGTCGAATCCTGCCATCACGGGTCGTGACCGTGACTCCGGACCTTTGTTGCGCGGTGCACGACGGAGAAGTAGGTAGTACGTCGTACGTCGTACTTGAGAGAGTGTGTGTGTGAGTGTGTCTGTGTGTGTGTGTGTCTGTGTGTGAGTGTGTGTATCTTTTGGGAGGGATAGGGGGGTTTTTTAAATCGAGGGCATGGAATGCGGAAAGAATATGTGTACAGGTAGGTAGCGGCATATATACATACATCCATACATCCATACATACATACATACATCCATACATACATAGGCCGGCCTTTTCGCGACAATGGATATCCTGCCCCTGCCTCTGCGCCCGCGCATACGACCTGCGATGAGCGTGAGGAGCAGGAGGAGGAGGAGGGAAGCGCTACACTGGTGGTGCACGTCGGCGGGGTTTGGAAACGGGGGAGCTGGAGTTGGAGTTGGTGGTGGTGTCGTCGTCGGCGCGAGGGGGTTGTTGACCATGAGCCACGCGGCTGGACCGACGGAAGTTTGTTCTCTCCCTTTTCCCTTTTTTTTTTTCCCCGCTTCGACGTCGCGTCTGCTGTTTGCTTTCCCAGCTACCCTGTATGGAGGTGCCAGCGCAGGGACTGATCTAGAGCTGTTGTGGTAGCCGCCGCTTGTCCCCCACTCGATCCCGCGGCACTTCGCCGCCGTCGTGGCCTGCCACGGGGACCGGCTGGCTCTCATCTCCCGCGCGCAGCGGGAGCGGCTCACCTACCGGGAGCTGGACGAGCGGAGCACGGTGCTGGCGCATGCGTTGAGGGCGAGGGGCGTGAGGAAGGGGGACAGGGTCGTCGTGATGTTGGGCAATAGCTGGGAGTGTGGGGTTGTGAGTTATGCTGTTTTCAAGCTGGGGGCCATCTTGGTGAGTTTGATGTTTTCGTTTATGAGAAGAGCAGAAGGAGAAGGAGAGGGGGAGGGAGAGGGAGCGGGAGAGGGAGTGGAACTGAGCTGCGCGGCGCGGCGCGAGGATTGAGTGTTTATTGAGACGGGGCGTTCGGGAGTTGGCATATCTACCATATGTGAGATGGGCGAGGAGAGAAGAGAACAGGAGCTGACTGCGAGCAGGTCCCTTTAAACCCGGCCTTCAACTGCCCCCAGGTGTCATCCGCCATCTCGCACCTCTCTGCTGCCCATCTCATCCTGAGCACCGAGACGAACCTCCCGTTCAAGTCTCCGCGCGAGAACATCACTTTGCTAAAGCAGATATGTCCCGATTTGTCATCCAGCAAAGTAGAGTCATCATCTGTTCCGTCGCTCCGCAATATCATTCTGGTAGACAACTCATCCGCGCGGATCGACACCTCACCCTGGAGAGCCACGACGCCCTTCTCAGCCCTCCTCTCCTCCTACGATTCCAAGAGGAACACCGCCATCGTCCCAGACGAACAGCTCAAACCATCCGATACCATCAACATCCAGTTCACATCGGGCACCACGTCCGCCCCGAAGGCCGCCTGCCTGACTCACACCGGCATCCTCAACAACGGGCTCGCCATCGGCACCCGGATGGGTCTCGGGCCCACCGACATCGTGTGCTGTCCGCCCCCGCTCTTCCACTGTTTCGGGTCCATCCTCGGCTACATGGCGACCGCGACAACCGGCGCAGCGCTACTCCTGCCGAGCGAGGCCTTCGACCCGCGAGCGACCCTGCGAGCGGTGCAAGAGGAGCAGGCCACGGCGCTCTACGGGGTCGCGACCATGTTCGTCGCCGAGCTCGAACTCCTCGCCACCAACGCCGTCCCCTCCCGCGGCTTCGATCATCTGCGCACGGGCATCGCGGCGGGCAGCTCGGTGCCGCGCCCGCTGATGGAGAAGCTGCACGCGAGCCTCAACCTGACGGGCCTGACCATCTGCTACGGCATGACGGAGACGAGTCCCGTGTCGTGCATGACCACCCCGGACGACCCGCTCGCCCAGCGCCTGGAGAGCGTCGGCCGGCTTCTCCCGCACGTCGAAGCCAAGATCGTGTCCGTCGCGGACGGGAGATCCACCACCCTCCCGGTCGGCGAGAGGGGAGAGCTGGTCGTGAGCGGCTACCACGTCATGAAGGGCTACTGGAACGACGGCGCGCGCACCGCCGCGGTCCGCGTCGTGGAAAGGGTCGTGGAGGGAGCGAAGGAGGAGGAGGAGGAGGAGGGGAAGGAGAAGGAGAAGGAGAAGGTGTGGATGTCTACCGGCGACGAGGCCGAGATGGACGCGGACGGCTACGTCAAGATCACGGGCCGGATCAAGGACCTGATCATCCGCGGCGGCGAGAACATCCACCCGCTGGAGATCGAGAACGCGCTCTTCGGCATGGATGCCGTGAGCGAGGTCAGCGTGGCGGGCGTGCCGGACGGGCGCTACGGCGAGGTCGTGGCGGCCTTTGTGGTGGTGTCCCAGGGCGTCCGGGTCGGGGTTGATGATCGAGGGGAGGGCGATCCTCGGGTTGATGCATATGGTGCGAAGGGGATGGGAGGGGCGGGAGCGGGAGCGGGAGCGGGAGCAGCGAGAGCGGGAGCTTCAGGCGAGGAGGGCCAGGAGGGCCAAGGGGGAGACTTGAAAAAAGTCCTGACGAGAGACATGGTCCGGACCTGGGTCCGGGAGCGGCTGAGCGGGCACCTGGTGCCCCGGTACGTGTTCTGGGTCCGCGGCTACCCCAAGACGGCGAGTGGCAAGATCCAGAAGTTCCGTCTCAGGGAGATGGCTGCGGAGTGGGTGAGGGAGGATTAGGGGAGGAGTAGAGTTTTGGATTTCTGGGGGGGGGGGGATTGGCGGGTGGAGGGGAGGGGGTGGTAGGCGGGTATTGGTCTACTTACTTGTTTGAATGTTTCTTTGAAGAGGGAGAGAGAGAGTATGTCTTGCACACACATATATACACACACATATATATATATATATCTATCTATACATCTATACATCTATATATTTATACATCTATACATCTATACATCTATACATCTATATACATCTTTATACACTTATGTACGTATCCAAGCAACAACATGAATACAAAATACAAACGACGAAGCCTTTACATTCTCTCTTATACACTATATATATATCTCCACCCCGTCTCTAACTAAGCGATTTCCGAACAGCGACGTTTCTTTTATTTTTATTCTTTTTCTCTTTAAAACTTTTTTTTTTTACTTTTGCATTACGAAGTTGAGTGAATAAGTGAACTAGTAAGTAAGTGAACAAGTAAACAAGGATAGTTTGCGAGTATTAGTTCACTTACTTACTTGTTTGAAAATTTGTTTAAAAAAAGAGAGAAAGAAAGTATATCTTGCATATATATACACACACATATATATACACACACATACATATA